CCAGAGCTAGTTGGTTTACCCTGATGACTTGCACTCGTCCTGACCTAGCATACCCTCTTGGCCTTCTGGCCCGCTACGTGGCTCCTGGCAGGCACTGAAAGGTGCACTGGGATGCTGCAAAGAGGGTATTGCGCTACTTGTGCAGTACATCCGGCATGGGGCTCGTGCTTGGAGGAGGGAGCTCAGTTGTTCTCACTCGGCACTAAAAAGCTTCTTGGGTTGACGACCAGGCTACTCAGCGGTCGTCACAGGGTTACACCTTCAGCCTTCGCTCTGGTTCAGTTTCTTGGCGTTCTACTTGTTCGTCTTCTGTTCTCAGCTCCAGTTGTGAGGCTGAGATCTACGCCACAGCCATGGCTGCATAGGAGCTACGCTGGCTCACCTACCTGCTGACCGACTTGGGAGAGCGGCCCTAGTTCTCCTCCAGTGCTGTACGTCGACAACAAGGCTGCCATTGCCTTGTGTGAGGAGCACAGATTGGAGCACAGAACGAAGCACATCGCTCTCCGTTACTTTCTGGCTCGAGAGTTGCAGCAGCGCGGTCAGCTTCGTCTGCGTTACGCGGCCACTCAGGCCAACACCGCTGATATATTCACCAAGGCACTTCAGCCTGGTGATCATCAGCGCTTCTGCACTATGCTGGGGCTGGTGCCCACTTTTCCTCACTTGCTGTAGACTTTGCCTGTACTGTGATCTCTATATATTTATACCTGCCTGTTTGCTTTGCTAGGTAGAGATCACTATGCTGTTTGTGTTGCATATATGCCTCTGCATGTGAACTGGCCATGAGGCCCTTTGCTTGTGCTCAGAGTGTGTGGTGACGTTGTGATCCACCCTGAGCTTGTTTGCCTTTCTTGACTGGTCTTGTGACCCCTTGCTCTCCCCCACTTTGCCTATGGGGGTGTGTCAAACATCATATATGTGTTATTGCTGTGTAGGCTATAGTGGGTTAGCCTTTAAGGGGTACACAACTCTAGGGTTTCATACTTTTACTCCAATGTTTCCTAGTTCAATCACTTCTTGTTTATGACATCATTATGACATGGTATTACGAGCCTAGGTTAGGAACGTAGGACCGCTTGTTCCTAAGGGCCCACCGTTCCGCTAGAAGCGCCCTCGTGCGCCCTACCTTCCTCGCGCCCTCGTGCGCCTCTTTACTCGTGCGCCCTCGCGCGCCCTTCTTCTCACGCTGCCCGTGCGCAGCCCGTTAGCCACCTGCGCGCGGCCCGTTTTTTCGCACGCGCAGCTTTCTAGCCGCCCATGCACGGCCCGTTTCTCGTGCGCGCGACCCGCTAACCGCCCGCGCAGTCGACGCTGCCCGCGCGCAGCTTGCCCTGGCCTCGCGCGGCCCCTAGCACAGCCGGCGAGCTACTCGTCGACTGTAGCGCGCCGCCGCTTCGCGCTCGTAGGCCGCCGCCCGTACGTAGGCCGCCGCCCGCACGTAGGCCGCCGCCCTCACGAAGGCCGCCGCCCGCACGTAGGCCGCCGCCTCGCATAGCCGCAAACCGAGCGCCGGCCAACCCTCCCTGCCCGAGCCGCGCCGCGCCGTCCTGCCCGAGTCGCGCCGCCCTGACCGAGACGCGCTGCCCTATTGTGCACCACCTGCAGCAACTGCTGCACGTGCTCCTGTTGTTACTGCTACTACTACTGCTACTATTCCTACTACTGCTACTGCCACTTTGGCCAGTCCTACCGTTCTCACTTTTGACGCTGAGGGCCGTCCGATTAAGTTTGACGTCTGGCTCGATGACCTGCACATGTTCCTCCAGATCACTGCCAAGGACGATGTTTCCCTGTTTGACCACACGTCCGGCGCCACTCCCGCACCTGCTGCTACTGCTAACAGTACGGCTCGTTCATAGTGGCGGACCCGTGACGCTCACGCTCGCCTAGCCGTTCGCAGTCACCTGCCGTTAGATGAGCGCGAGTATTTTGGCCAGCATAAGACCGCTCAGGAGCTGTACAATGCTGTAGTTGCGCGCTACTCCTCCCCTGCTACTGCTGTGATAGGGCGTCTCTCGCTGCCCTATCTCTTCCCCGATCTGTCCGCCTTTGCCAGTGTAGCTGACCTTATCACTCATCTCCGTACTAGTGATCTCCGCTACCGTGCCGCCCTTCCTCCCGATTTCCTCGCCAAGAACCCTCCCCGAATGTACCTCACACTCTACCACCTAGTCACTCGCCTCCTTGACTCTCTTCGCGCTGTCAGGGACCACTTTCTCGCCCTCTCCCCCACCGACCTCACTGTCGACCTGCTCGAGAAGGAACTCCTTGCAGCTGAGACTAGTATTGTAGCTGTAGGTGCCTCTTGTGGCGACCCTTGCACTCCCTTCTTTGAGGGATGTTCCCCCTCCCCCCTTCTCCCCTCCATTGCATCTGCTGCTGCTGTTGACTACCTCGGTGCTGAGGAGGTTAGGGTTGTGTCTGCTCCTAGTGGGAGGCGCAAGGGCGGCAGGGGCAAGGGGGGCAAGCGTGGCGGAGGTGGCAGCGGGGGCGGCGGTGGTGGAGGGGGTGGAGGGGGCGGGGGTGGTGGCGATGGTGGGAGTGGTGCTGGTGGTGGGGGGGTCAGTGGCGGAGGCGGGGGTAGTGGCGGCGGCGGTGGTGGGGGTGGCGGGGGTGGTGGTGGCAGTGGTGGAGGCAGTGGAGCTGGTGGCGGGCGCGGTGGAGCGGTGCAGCGCGGGGGGTTCGGTGGTGGCCAGAGGCAGCAGCAGCAGCGTCCCAGCGAGACCCCATCGCCCCAGCAGCTCCGTGAGTGGTACTCTCAGCGTGGGGGGTCTGGGGGTGGAGATACCTGCCTGTACGTCATCCGCACAGGTGACCGCACTGGCCAGACTTGTGGGAGATTCCACACGGCACAGCGCTGCTTCTTTTGTCTCGACGACGCCTGGCGCGATCAGTTTCCTGACGCCTCTGAGCTGCCCCGCTGGGCTGATCTACTGAAAAGAACATTGATATCTTTGCTCTTGATTTTGATGCTATCCTTGGTGCCATGTATGCATTGACTATTAGTGTTGAGGGTGACTATTACCTGCGTGTACCGCCCGACCCGGGTATTGGGACCAGTGAGGTTGCCGCTCTAGGTGCTAGTCCGTCTGCTGCCCTAGGTCCTGGTGAGGCTGCTGCTCTACGTGCTAGTGTGTTTGCTGCTCCAGGTGCTCGTGCGTCTGCGCTTGCTGGTATTGCGTCTACTGAGGCACTGCACACCTTCACACTGAACTCGGGTGCTTCCCGCTGCTTCTTTCGTGACCGCACTGTCCTTGAGCAGCTAGCTCGGCCTGTTGCTGTCTCCCTGGCTGACCCCTCTAGGGGCCCGGTCCTTGCGACCTCCTCCACTGTCCTCCCTTGTCCTACGGTCCCGTCTGGCACCCTGTCAGGTCTTTACCTCCCCTCGTTCTCTAAGAACTTGGTGGCAGGCTGTGCTCTCCAGGACGGGGGTGTTCACCAGTTCACCCCTGCCTATGAGCGTGTGACCCACTGCACGTGTGCTCGGACGGGTCGCCACCTAGCTACCTTCACTCGGCAGCCAGGGTCGGACCTGTACACACTGACCACTGAGTCCCCTCAGGTAGCTGCGTCTGCGTCTACGTCAGGTCAGCTGTCGGCCCCCTGCTCGTGTTGCACCCTGTCGCACCAGACCGTCCTCTGGCACCACCGCCTTGGTCACCCGGCAGTGCAGTGCCTTCGTGGCATGCACTCCCGGTACCTTGTCTCTGGTCTTCCCAGGACCCTGCCTCCCCTGCCACCCTTCCTTGCCCCTCCCTGCCTTCCTCGTGTCGAGGGGCGGCAGCGCGCCGCTCCTCACTCCTCCTCGTTCCCCCTGACAGAGGCTCCCCTGCAGACTCTCCACCTGGACGTGTGGGGCCCAGCCCGCATCCGTGGACAGGGCGGCGAGCGCTACTTCCTGCTGGTGGTTGACGACTACACGCATTACACCATGGTCTTCCCCTTGCGCACCAAGGGTGAAGTCCCTGATGTTTTGATCCCTTGGGTCCGCAACACTCGTCTCCAGCTGCACAAGCACTTCCACACGGACTTTCTTGTCTTGCGTCTGCACTCTAACAGAGGTGGTGAGTGTTCCTCCGACCTCTTGAGGGCCTTCTGTCAGGGGGAGGGCATTGAGTTGTCGTTCACACTTCCAGCCTCTCCTCAGCAAATTGGGGTTGCTGAGCGCCGCATTGGCTTAGTCATGGAGGTAGCTCGTACCTCCCTGATCCATGCGGCTGCTCCCCATTTTCTGTGGCCGTTTGCGGTTCGATACGCTGCGCATCAGCTCAACCTCTGGCCCCGTGTCTCCGTTCCGGAGACCTCGCCGACACTGCGTTGGACGGGCGAGGTTGGCGATGCATCGGTGTTCCGGGTCTGGGGATCTCGTGCTTTTGTCCGCGATACGTCCGCGGACAAGCTCTCCACCCGCGCTGTTCCCTGTGCCTTCCTTGGCTTCCCCCCTGACGCGCCTGGCTGGCGGTTTTACCACCCCACCTCGCGCCGTGTCTTCCCCTCTCAAGACGTCACTTTTGACAAGTCGGTACCCTTTTACCGTCTTTTCCCTTACCGCACTGCCCCGCTTCCCCCCCCACCGCTCTTCCTCACCCCAGGTGTCCCTTCTGTAGGCCCCCTCCCTCCCCAAGGTCCTGCTCCCTCAGGTGTTTCCCAGGTAGACCCGGTCGAGCCTGTGGAGGTAGCTGTCAACTCTGGTCCTGCGAGGGGTACTGAGCCTAGGGGTGCTGAGACTGAGGGTGCTGAGCCTGGGGGTGCTGAGGCTGGGGGTGCTGAGCCTGGGGGTGCTGAGACTGGGGGAGTTGAGGCTAGGGGATGTGAGACTGACCGTGCTGCGCCTGGTGGCGCTCCCTCTTCACAGCAGCTGCGTGAGTGGTACTCTCAGCGTTGCAGCCTCCGGCGTGGGACTGCTGGAGCTAGGGATTCTGCTTGAGTTGGAGCTGGTGGTGCTGTGGGTGCCGTGTCCCATAGCGGTTGCGTGAATGGTACACTCGTCGGTGCAGACTCCGGAGCGGCGCTCCTAGTGCTGGGGTGCCGCCTGCTGGAGGCCCTGGTGCTGCTGGAGGTGCTGGAGCCTCTGGTCCTGGAGGTGCTCGTACAGGCGGTGCTAGAGCTGCTGGACTGGGGGTTCTGCTGGAGCTGGTGCTGGAGCTACTGGAGCTGGTACTGCTAGAGGTGCTGCTGGTGCTGGTGCTGCTGGAGGTGCTGCTCGTGCTGGAGCTGCTGGAGGTGGTGCTGGGACTGGAGCTGCTGCGGGAGTTGGAGCTGGAGGTGCTGGAGGTGCTGGAGCTGCTGGTGGTGCTGCGGGAGTTGTAGCTGGAGACCCTGGGGCTGAGGATGCTGGTGCTGTCTCTGCTGGTTCAGGAGGTACTGCGCGGCCGCGGCCGTACTACATTCCGCTTCTTCAGCAGGTTCTTGGCCTCCCGCCCTCTACTGGTCCTACTCCTTCCCTACTGAGTCCACCGCCTGTCCAGTCGAAGTCACAGTTATAGCCTGCCTCTCTGCTGCCTGGTCCTTCTCCTTACTCTGGGCCGACAAGAGGTCTTACGGAGCGTCGTGAGAATGAGTCTCGTCCTACGTCGCCTGAGTCTTGTCCTGCGTCGCCTGATTCTCGTCCAGAGTCGCCTGTCCGTGCTGTCCGTGCTGGTCGTCGTGTTCCGCGTGAGCGTCCTCCTCCTGTCCCTGGCACTCACTATATGACTCTTCGTCCTTCCACCGCTCCACAGCGTGTTCCTCTTCCGTCTCCTCCTGCGTCCTCTCTTCCTGACGGTCCGGACCCGGAGTCTGACTCCCTTCGTGCTGCTAGTCCTACTGTCACGCGTTTCCTCGCCACTGTTGTCACTGACCCTTCCTTTGAGTCCACTGCTGCGTCTGCTCTACTTGCTGAGCTTGTTGACTTTGCTGCCGCCTGTCGTCTATACTACGCCGCTAGCCTTGTTGCTGAGACTGAGTCTGTCTGTCCTCCGTCCGTCGGGGGTGAGTGTGCTCTTGGCACGGACGTTCTTGAGGATAGACATGAGGAGTTTGAGTGCTTTGCCACTGCTTTACCTCATCTCGTGTCTATGCTGATTGCCCCTGAGGGAGACCCAGATGCACCAGACATCCCGACCCCGCGCTCTTACGCAGAGGCGATAGAGGGTCCCTACTCCTCTCAGTGGCAGTCAGCCATGGACGCAGAGATGGCTTCCTGGAAGTCCACAGGCACCTACGTCGTCGAGGTTCCCCCAACTGGGGCGAACATTGTCAGTGGCATGTGGATTTTTAGGGTGAAGCGGCTGCCGGGCTCTCCGCCTGTCTTCAAGGCGCGTTACATTGCACGAGGCTTCAGTCAGCGTGAGGGAGTTGACTTCTTACAGACCTTCTCCCCCACCCCGAAGATGACCACTCTTCGGGTTCTGCTGCATATCGCCGCTCAGCGTGACTACGAGCTCCACTCTCTTGACTTCTGCACTGATTTCCTATAGGGCAGCCTGCACGAGGAGATCTGGCTGCGCCGCCCACCTGGCTTCACTGGGTCGTTTCCTGCAGGTACCGAGTGGAGCCTCCGGCGGCCGGTCTACGGTCTCCGCCAGGCACCCCGTAAGTGGCACGACACACTGAGGACTACTCTTGTTGCTCTTGTGTTTGCTCCTACTCCTGACCCGTCGCTGTTTCTACGCACCGGCACCACTCTGCCGCAGTTCTATGTTCTCGTGTACGTAGACGACTTGGTCTTTGCGACTGCTGACACTGAGGCACTCGCCCACGTGAAGTCGGAGCTGCAGAAGAGATACACGTGCATAGACCTGCGTGAGCTGACAAGCTATCTTCGCTTGCGAATCACCCGGGACAGAGCACAGCGCACCATTACCTTGACCAAGTCACACATGGTGCAGCAGGTCCTTCAGCGCTTCCGCTTCACGTACTCCTCGCCATAGTCCACTCCTCTGCCTACCGGTCACTCGCTCTCAGCTCCACCTTCGGACGAGTCCGTGGAGCTGAGTGGCCCGTATCGAGAGCTTGTGGGCTGCCTCATGTACCTGATGACCTGCACTCGACCTGACCTAACCTACCCTCTTAGCATCCTAGCACGCTATTTCGCTCCTGGCCGACACAGGAAGGAGCGCATGGATGGTGCTAAGAGGGTGTTGCGCTACTTGTGCAGTACGTCGGGCATGGGGCTCGTGCTTGGAGGACGGGCTCAAGTTATCCTCACTGGTCACGCAGACGCTTCTTGGGCTGACGACTTGGCTACGCAGCGGTCGTCACAGGGTTACACCTTCAGCCTTGGCTCCGGCTCTATTTCTTGGCGGTCTACCCGCTCGTCTTTTGTTCTTAGCTCTTATTGTGAGGTTGAGATCTACGCAGGGGCCATGGTTGCACAGGAGTTACGCTGGCTTACCTACCTGCCGACTGACCTGGGAGAGCCGCCTCATTCTCCTCCAGTGCTGTACGTCGACAACAAGGCCACGATTGGCTTGTGTTAGGAGCACAGACAGGAGCACAGAACGGAGCACATTGCTCTGCGCTACTTCCTTGCTCGAGAGTTGCAGCAGCGTGGTCAGCTTTGTCTTGCTTACGTGGCCACTCGGGCCAACACTGCTGATGTGTTCACCAAGGCGCTTCAGCCTTGTGATCATCAGCGTTTCTGTATTGTTCTAGGCCTTGTGCCTTGTGCCTTACTTCCTGACTCTGCTTGTACTGTGATCCTTATAGATGACTACCTGCATGTTTACACTTGCTATGTTGTGATCACTGTATTCCTTGTTGTATTATCAACCTACATGTGAACTGGTCTTGTGACCGCTTGCTTGTGCTCGGAATTTGTGTGGTATCCTTGAGATCCACCCTGAGCTGTGCTTTGGTTTGCTTTGTTTTGACTGGTCTTGTGACCATCTAGTTGTCTCCCACTTAGCCTATGGGGGTGTGTCAAACATTGTATATGTTTCTATTCTGTAGGCTATAGTGGGTTTAGTCTTAGGGGGTACAACATTCTAGGTTTTCCTTCTTGTACTCCCAATGCTGTTAGTTCATTCATCACTCTCTCATTATGACACATCTCCCTTCTTGTTCGCTTGCTGCGCCTTGCCAGCATTCTCAGCCTTTTTTATCATATGGCACTACCTTCTCGTATGGCCAAACTTCTTGCAGTAGGTGCAGAAAGGAGTTCCAGTCCTCTGCTGGCCTCCCTTGTGAAAGGGCTTCTTAGGCTATGACCCATTCTGCTCGCTCTGTAGCTGGAAATGCCTCTTCTTCCAAGGGCATTTCCCATTAGAAGGCTTCGCCGCGTCGTTATGGCCACTAGGGCCTTCATCCCCACTCTGCAGGTAACCCTTGGCGGCATTAAGGCAGGTGTGGACGCTCACGTCAAGCTCAATGACAGCTGTCTTGAGTTCCTTATACGTAGGGTACTGGTTCCTTCCCAGCACAAGCCTCTCGTCACTGAGGCAAGCCATTGTAGAACAAGGACATTGCCTCGTTCCCAGTGAGGGCGACGGTCAGGAGTAGCATAGTCCACTCGAACTCGTTAGCATACTCTTGAACAATACAATTTCCGCACTGCATGCTCTTGATTCGGTTTTGCACTTCGAGGCCCGTCTTTTGCACATGGAAAGCGTCCTTCATTGCGCTGCGAAAATCAGACAGTTTAAAGGTGGCCGACGTTGCTCCGGCAAGCTTCATAGAGTTGTAGACTCTGTTACGCGCAGTCTCATTGAGAGCATCAGTAACAGCAATAACTCGTCTGTCGGGGCGCACGTTGTGGATGGAAAGCATTTCCTCCACATGATGAAGCCAGGATTCCACGTTCGTCTTGCCATGAATGAAATTTGGCAAGGCAGTGGGGAGCGACCCAAATGCAGGTGCGTCGGGCGACATCGGCTCCTCTGTTGGAGCTCCGGCAGAAGTAGAAGGCTGCCCATTGCTAGGAGGGGGGCGATATATACCGCCCCTCCTGAGCTCCCTATATTGCGCTTGCAACATCGTGCAGGTCGATTCCAGGTTGATACACGTAGGATTCAGCTGCTGAAGAGTTTCCTCAAGGCTCTTGATCTAGTTGGACTTGAGGCCAAGAGACCTCCTAAGTTGACGAGCCTCGACAGAGAATTTGTTAAGCTCAGCCTTGATCATTTTAAATCAAGCATTCCGCTCAGCAACTTGAGCCTCAAGCTCATTGATCGTGCATTTCGGCTGCAGCAAAGAAGATGCTTGCTCGGCCACTGTGGATTGAAGTTTTTCAAACTCCTTAGGAAAATTGTTTTCCGTGCCGACGTCATCAAGCCCTTCCTGCTCTTCATTCTCTTCCTGGTTTCCTAGTGCTACTTCCTCTTCTCTAGGAAGGTCACCTATGATATCCTCAGCATTGAGGTCAAGGTCAGGAAATTCTTCCTGTTCCTCAACTGAGGTCATAGGGATATCCTCCCTTGGTGCTTCCTCATTAGGGGTAGCCATGGAGAAGTTGAAGAGAGGGAGATTTAAGCGAGTGTTTCTTCTTTGTTAAGAAACATGATCTGAATAAGACTCCTCTATCACCCATGGTGATAGGCAAGAGATTTTGAAAAAAATCAGAAATATTTTAATATATCAATTTTCTCACAAAGAGAAAGTAACAGAAAAAGAGTTGTTAAATAAGTCTTCTATTCCAAGAAGGACATAGAGCGAGATTCTCAAACTGCAGAAAGAGCAAGTTAAGAGGAATCTTTTTAGCAAATCTCTTAGATCTGTAATACTTCGCTATTATAAAAATTGCAATGAGTCTTTTGTTGGAAACAAGTGATTTAAGCGCCTCTGTCGTGTCGAAGTCATAAACGGAGCGAAATACAGTGAAGCATCAGCGAGTCAACACTTGGAGGTTGAGAAGTGAAGAAACCGCTGGAGGTTACGCGAAAGTCAAAGGTCAGCGACCTTTGACCTGACAAGTACAGCGCGACAGCAAGGACAAACAGCTGACTCGTTATTGAGCAGTTGCCCGAGTCGTCACTGTATAGAACCGCAATAGCAACAGTAAAACAGTTATTAACTGTATCTCTTCATATTCCTTCTACCCTTATAAAACCTTGTATCCTCTTGTTTTAATCAATCTACTTTGCCCTCACATACCAGCGCAAGGTGGTTCACAGACTTATCATTAAACACTTCCGCTATTACATTGTTCCTACTCAGAGTTTAGTCCTGCAAAGATCCTAAGGGCTTTTCTCAGCCCAACATGATATGAGAGCTATCAGGGCAAACTCAACTATTTCAAAGACACCTACAACATCTGAAAACATGGCAACGCAAAAGGAGAGAAGTTCCTCTAATGGTTCTCCCAGTACAACTCCTACCCCACCTCCGGCCTCAGGCCTACAGACAGAGGAGGGCACGGGAACAAGGCCAGCAGCTGGGTCCACTGAAACTCCCACAAATCAAGCCGCGGGCTTCGACACAAGCATGATGGAGAAGTTCTTCTCCTTCATGTCCTTCTACGAACAACACCAGCAAGGGGCACCTGCGCAGTCAAACAACAGCAACAACAACAACGATGTGACTCCGATGAGCCTTGACGGTTCATCCTACGCACGAGGAAATCAGCAACATCAACCTACCTTCGCCCCGTACGAACCCCAGCGCGGCTCCGTCGGCTTCATGCCGCGCCAGCAGCCTTCACCTGAGCAAGAGAAGACATTGGACGCACTTCAAGTTCAGTCGCAGTTTGCGCACGTCCTAAAACTGCAAACGTCAAGACCATTCGACGGAAAGGATTTCTCTACCTGGTCATTCGAATTCGAGCTTATGACGGAAGGCGCGTAGATTCTTGGCTTCTTCGACGGGTCTCTGCCATACCCAACACACGGGACGCAATACGACAAGCAGCAGTACACATATCAGTCAATGATGGCATATACGATCCTACTAAGGAACATAACTCCAAACCAGCAGCAAAACATTCGGTCTTACCGAGGATACGGGAACTCCGCCGAGCTCGCGTACAACCACTTGAAGAGCCAGTATCAGGCAATAGACAGCATCAATAAGAGTCGGTTAATTGCACAACTAGCAACAGTGGAAATGAAACCGGGCGAAAAAGGAACGGCGTATATCAGTCGTTGTCGCGAATTGCGCGACAAACTTCTTCGATGTGGAAGGTCGATATCGGAAGACACCTTCGTCGCAATTGTTATTGGCGGTCTTGGTCCTCACTCGCGCTCCACTCGCGCCATACTCCGAGCTCATGGGAAGATCTACGAAGCAGCACTCTGCGCCAAAATTCACGCTGAGCAGCAAGACATGGACCTGCAAGAGGAGCGGCACAAGAAAAAAACGTCAGTACCCGAGTTTGCATTCCACACTCAACGGCGCTACAACAACAACAACAACAACCGGCACCAACCAAAACCCGTACCTCCATTCTGTCATATTTGCAAGACATCAGGGCACCCTCGCACACACTGCCCGAATCGACAGCAGTCAACTCCGCCGCAACGCCAACTTCGTCCTTCAATTAGCCAAATGGCGTCCACACAGGCGCATTCCACGAGTCAACTGTAGTCCTCAATGACATCAACGACGCAATCTGCACAAGGAGCAAGAAACATCGTCACCTGCATGGCGGAATTGACCGATTCCTGCATCACCGATTCACCACCGCATTACTCACCGGAAGAGCAACTCGACAACAGCACCCCTCGCCGTGAATCACTTCACCCGAACCCAACGTACGCAGCTATCGCCCAAAGCGAGCCGTCTGGGAAAGACACCTGGTTCTTGGATAGTTGCTGTGGACAACACATGTGCTCCTCGGGTCGTTTCGTTTAACGCGAACACCAACTTCAGCGCGAAGTCGTCATCACCGTCGCCAACAATCAGAACCTGCGCACACGATGATAGAGCGTAGTACAACTTCAGTCACGAGAGACAAACGTCATACTGCAAATGTCAAAGATTTTAATTGCGGAGGGACTCGGCTACAACTTACTGAGTGTCAGTCAGCTGATGGCGATGTCAGAACATTATAGCTTATACATTTGTGTAGGCTGTAGTGGGGTAGCCCATAAGGGGTACAACCCAATTAGGGTTATTACTTGTACCCAACTCTTTCATAGTTCAATCATCCTCTCGTTCTCATCTTCACATGGTATAGAGCTGGTTCCTTTGTGGAAACTGTTCCTAGGGCCCACCGATTTTTTTTTTCCTGCCCGGAGCACGCTTGGCCCATGCCTGAGTCGCGTCCCGTGTCGTTCCGCCTCTAGCGGCCCCTTTTACGGCCCCTAACGACCCCGTCACGCCGCCCTTTCGGCCCCGTCGCGCCGCCCTTGCGGCCCCGTCGCGCCGCCCTTGCAGCCCCGTCGCGCCGCCCTTTCAGCGACCTCGTCGCCGCCCCTTTCCTGCGGCCCAGTCGCCGCCCTTTCAGCGGCCCCGTCGCCGCCCTTTCAGCGGCCCCATCGCCACCCTTCCACGGCCCCGTCGCCGCCCTTCCACGGCCTCGCCACCCGCCCTTACAGCGGCCCCGTCGCCCGCTCTTCCGCGGCCCCGACACCGCCCTTCCGTGGCCCCGTCGCTGCCCTCCAGCGGCCCCGTCGCCGCCCTTCAGCGGCCCCGTCGCCGCCCTTTCGGCAGCCCTGTTGCCGCCCGCCCTTTCAGCGGCCCCGCCGCCGCCCTTCCACAGCCCCGTCGCCGCCCTTCCACGGCCTTGCCGCCCGCCCTTACAGCGGCCCCATCGCCGCCCTCCAGTGGCCCCGTCGCCGCCCTTCAGCGGCCCCGTCGCCGCCCTTCCGCGACCCCTCGCCGCCCTTTAAGCGGCCCCGTCGCCGCCCACCCCTTCCGCGGCCCCGTCGCCGCCCTTTCAGCGGCCCCGTCGCCGCCCTTCCGCGGCCCCGTCGCCGCCATTTCAGCGGCCCCGTCGCTGCCCCTAACTGCGGCCCCGTCGCCGCCCTTCAGCGGCCCCGTCGCCGCCCTTCCGCGGCCCTGTCGCCGCCCTTTCAGCGGCCCCGTCCCCGCTGACCTTCCTACGCGGCCCCGCTGCCGCCCCTACGCGGCCTCGACGCCGCTCCTAGCGGCCCCGTCGCCGCTCCCCTCCCTCCGCGGCCCCGTCGCCGCCCCTACGTGGCCTCGTAGCCGCCCCTACGCGGCCACGTCGCCGCCCCTAGCGGCCCCGTCGCCGCTCCCCTCCCTACGCGGCCCCGTCGCCGCCCCTAGCGGCCCCGTCGCCGCCCCTAGCGGGCAGCCGAGCCGCCAAGCCGCCCTGCAGCAGCAGCCGCCCCTGGAGCAGCCGCCAGTGCAGCAGCCGCCCCTGGAGCAGCCGCCACTGCAGCAGCCGCCCCTGGAGGGCCACCCCTCGAGCAGCCGCCACTGCAGCAGCCGCCCCTGGAGCAGCCGCCACTACAGCAGCCGCCCCTGGAGCAGCCGCCACTGCAGCAACCGCCCCTGGAGCAGCCTCCACTGCAGCAGCCGCCCGTGGAGCAGCCGCCACTGCAGCAGCCGCCCTTGGAGCAGCCGCCACTGCAGCAGCCGCCCCTAGAGCAGCCACCCCTGCAGATGCCGCGGAGCTCTCGCTCTACAGTGGTAGCGGCATCGCCGTCGTACGCCTGCCCTTCTCGCCAATGGTGAGCACTGCCCTGCTCGTACTACTGTTACTGCTGCTCTTACTACTCCTGCTCTTTCTACTGCTACTGCTGCTCCTGGCGTGGCCAGATGCAGCTCCAGCGTCGCCCGCGTGAGTCCCTCACCCCCCAACAGCTTCGTGCGTGGTACGCTAGTTGGGGTTGTCGGGGTGGCCGTAGTGGGAGTCGTCCTGGAGTGAGTAGTTCCGCAGCTGCTTGTAGTGGCAGGATGCAGCTCCAGCGTCGCCCGCGTGAGTCCCTCACCCCCCAACAGCTTCGTGAGTGGTACACCAGTTGGGGTTTTCGGGGTGGCAGTAGTGGGAGTCGTCCTAGAGTGGGTAGTTCGGGAGTTTCTTGTAGTGGCCCGGTGCAGCAGCAGCGTTGTCCGCGCGAGACTCTTTTACCCCAGCAGCTTCGTGAGTGGTACGCTCAGAATGGAGGTATCCACCTCGAAGCAGACAGCTGAACACAAGAGTTCAAGCTATACCATGGAAATGTAGACCTCTACATCGGCAAGGCCGTGCTGAAGAACAACGTGTTTGTCCTCGACTTTGTTCCAGATCTAGGCACCGCCGACAGCGACGGAATCGTCACCTTCACCTCCTAGACGCACCCACCGGATCTCGATCCTGTCTTCAGCCACGAAGGTTTCTGGTATTCGCACACCATCCCTGAGGCAGAACGAACAGGAGCATTAGCAACAATTCAATCGGCAGCAGTAGAGACAACATCAGCAGCAGCAGTGACAACATCGGCAGCAGCAGAGACAACATCGACAGCAGCAGAGACAGCATCGGCACCAATCGCGGGTCCTTCAATTGCACCAGCCCCAATTGACGACGACACTCCACCGACTTCTGCGCAGCAACTGAATCCAAAACCACGAAAAGTACATCGAAGCGCAAACCTCACCGCAAGCTTCTACTCCGACTCCGATTTGTTCCGTCGCTCACCCGGACATCGAGCTGGGGAAGATATCTGGCACGCCCGAATTGTCAGAAACAAGAAGTGATTGAACTATGAAACATTGGAGTACAAGTATGAAACCCTAGAGTTGTGTACCCCTTAAAGGTTAACCCACTATAGCCTACACAGCAATAACACATATATGATGTTTGACGAATGAGAGGCTGACGAATGAACTAACAGCATTGGGAATGCAAGTAGGAAAACCTAGAATGTTGTACCCCCTAAGACGAAACCCACTACAGCCTACAGAACAGAAACATATACAATGTTTGACAAGATCCAGGACCTTCATGCTCGCGCCAGGATTTTCACTTATCCAACTAAGGTGTGGGTACTTAGCAGGATAGGTAGATCAAGGTGATGAGGCTTAAATACTTTGTGACAATGATCAATTAAAGCTAGAGAAACTTTGCTGAGTGCAGAATCTCTTGTTTGTTTACTTCTTCTTTGAGTGAAAAATCTGTTTTTCTACCTTGATTGCACCCACTTACACAACTATCTATCGAAACATTCAGAGATAAATTCTTTGTCATTTGCTGCAACGTAGATGCGTTGGCTTCCATAATGGAATTGGTGGGTCGTTTTACCGAAGAGCACCCATTGACTTCAATCAGTCTGGTGACTCGCACTATCGAAGGCAAACATTTTCCTATGCTTGAGGGATGGACGGTACTTGCCGCATGGGATAAGGGATATCACATGTGGCGGCCTGACAGCCAAACTTATGGTCGAGCAAACATAATGTCAAGGCATACTACCAGTGCTCTTGCTAGGATTTAGACCCGTCTGAAAAAACAAAATCTAAAACTCATTTCGTCTGACGTTCAAACGGACATTATTTTGTGGTGTGATTTTTCAGACGAATGGTGGAGCTTTATCTAATTTCCAGACTAGGAGACAGTAGCAAGGAGACCCGTGAAAGTAGGACTGGCAGCACGAAGAGAGTCCGACTCTGGGTCGAGAAGAGCAGGAAGAGAGGACACAGGAGGAGAAGGCAAAGGGGCACGTAGAGGAGCAGTGGATGGACACAGAGACATCCGGTGCGTGCCAAGGACAGGAGGAGGACGGTGACGCGAACCGCAACCACTAGTGCGAGCAGTACGGACAGGCAACGCAGGGCGAGACGCAGGCTCACGACGCTCAGTAAGACCTCCAGTAGGACCAGTGTAGGGAGAAGGAGCAGGCAATGGGGAGGCGGGCTGTAGCTGTAACCGTGACTGGAAAGGATGTGGACACTCTAAGGGAGGAGGAGGACTGAGAGAAGGCAGGAGACCAAGAACCTGCTGAAGGAGCGGAACGAAGTACGGCCGCTGCCGTGCACCGACTCCAGAACCAGCAAAGACACCAGCGCCAGGGTCCTCCGCACCAGCAGCAGCTACCTCTCCTGACCCTGACCACGGACGCGGGCTGGGCCCCATATGTCCATGTGGAGCGTCTGCAAGGGATCAGTCGTCGGGGGAAACGAGGAGGAGTGAGGAGCGGCGCGCTGCCGCCCCTCGACGTAGGGAAGACAGGGAGGAGCAGGCGAGGGTGGGAGGGGAGGGAGGACTCTGGGAAGACCGGAGACAAGGTACCGGGAGTGCATGGCACGAAGGCGCTGCACAGACGGGTGGCCAAGTCGGTGGTGCAAGAGGACACTCTCGTGCGCCAGAGAGCGACACGAGCAGGGGGCAGACAGCTGACCTGACGCGGACGCGGACGCAGACGCAGATGCAGCGACCTGAGGGGACTCAATGGTCAGTGTGTACAGGTCCGACTCCGGCAGCCGAGTGAAGGTAGCCAAGTGGCGGCTCGTACGAGCACACGTGCAGTGTGTCACGCGCTCGTAGGCAGGGGTGAACTGGTGAACACCCCCGTCCTGGAGTGCTCTACCTGCCACCAAGTTCGTAGAGAACGAGGGGAGGTGGAAACCTGACAGTGTGCCCGACGGGACCGCAGGACAGGGAAGGACAGTGGAGGAGGTCGCAATGACCGGACCCCCAGAGGGGTCAGCGAGGGAGACAGCAACTGGCTGAGCAAGCGGCTCAAGGGCAGTGCGGTCACGAAAGAAGCAGCGAGAAGCACCTGAGTCTAGTGTGAAGGTGTGCACTGCTGCCGTCGACTGAGTACCAGGGGGGGCAGACGCACAAGCACCTAGAGCAGCAGCCTCACCAGCACCTGGGGTAGCAGACACGCGAGTACCTGGAGCGGCAAATGCACTAGTCCTAATGCCCGGATCGGGCGGCACACACAGGTACTCAGCACCCTCTCCACTAGTAGACATCACATACATAGCAGTGAGAATAGCATCAAAGTCTAGAGCATAGATATCAATCCCCTTCTTCAGGAGATCAACCCAGCGGGGCAGCTAAGTGGCTTGAGAGAACTGAACACGCCAAGCGTCGTTGAGACGAGCGAAGCAGCGCTGTGTGGCGTGCGGTCCCCCACACAGCTGACCAGTGCGGTCACCAGTGCGAATGACGTACGTGCAGCTAAAGCCACCCCCCCCCCCCCCCCCCCCCCCTCCCCGTGCTGAGAGTACCACTCACGGACCTCCTGGGGCGACGGAGTGTGCTGCTGGCCCTGGCCACCGCCAGCGGCTCCACGACCACCACCGCCGCCACCACCTCCTCGACCACCCCAACCCCTGCCGCCGCCGCGTCCACCGCCACCCCCACCACCGCCTCCGCCCCTGCCACCTCCCCCGCCGCTGCCGCCACCACCCCCACCGCTGCCACTAGCCCCTCCAGTCGCGCCACCACCCCCACCGCCGCCACCGCCCCCACCACCGCCTCCCCCGCTGTCACCACCACCGCCCTTGCCCCCTTTGCCCTTGCCGCTGCAGCGCCCGCTCGAAGCAGACACCGGCCCGACCTTCTCAGCACCAAGGAGGTCGACAGCAGCAGCAGAGGCGACAGAGGGAAGAAGGGGGGAAGGAGAACACCCCTCAAAAAACGGGGAACGGGGGTCGCCACGAGAGGCACCTACAGCGACTATGCTAGCCTCAGCTGCAAGGAGTTCCTTCTCAAGGAGGGCAATGGTGAGCTCAGTGGGGCAGCGAGCTAGGAAGTGGTCCCTGACTGAGCGCAGAGTGTCAGGGAGGCGGGTGACTAGGTGGTAGAGAGTGAGCCAGAGCGGGGGTGGGTTCTTGGCAAGGAACTCATCAGGCATGGCGGCGCGGAAGCGAGCCTCACTAGTGCGGAGGTGCGTAATGAGGTCAGCGACTGTGTGGAAAGAGGCTAAGTCGGGGAACAGGTAGGGAAGAGAGAGACGGCCTAGTGCGGCAGAGGCCGGTGAGGAGTAGCGGGCAACGACAGCAGTGTACAGTGCCTGTGCAGTCTTGTGCTGCCCAAAGTGCTCGCGCTCATCTATCGGCAGGGAGTTGCGAATAGCGAAGCGAGCGTGGGCGTCACGAGTCTGCCACTGTGAGCGGGCAGTGCTGTCAGCAGTAGTAGCAGGAGCAGGAGCATGGCCTAGGGCGTGAACGTACAGTGAGATGTCCTCCTTGGCAGTGAGCTGTAGGAAGAGGTGTAGGTCATCTAGCCAGGTTTCGAACTTCACTGGGCGGCCCTCAGCATCGAAAGCCAGCACAGGAGGGCTAGCCATAGCAGTAGTAGGAGTAATAGCAGTAGGGGCACCCCAAAAACAGTAGGCAGTGCGACTCAGGTAGGGCGGCTCGGTCCAGTACGGGCGGCGCGGCTCGGTTCAGGTAGGGCGGCGCGGCTCGGGAAGGGCGGCGCGGCTAGGTTCGGGCGGCGCGGCTCGGTTTGGGCTGGGCGGCTCGGTTCGGGCGGTTCGGTTCGGGCGGCTCGGTTCGGGCGGCTCGGTTCGGGCGGCTCGGTTCGGGCGGCTGGGTTCGGGCTGGGCGGCTCGGGGGTCGCGGGTCGCGGGGCCTTAGGGGGCCGTGAAAAAACGAGGCGCCCTAGGGCACAGTTAGGTAGTTAGGTAGGTAGGTAGTGGTGTGCCCTAAAAAAAAACGGTCCTAGCGAAGGACCTGCTCTGATACCATGTTGAAATAAACGAACAGGAATGATTGAACTAACAGTGAAATCAGTACAAGTACCTAACCCTAGAATTGTGTACTCCCTATAGGCTAACCCAATGTAGCCTAAACAAGCACAACATATATAATGTTTGACATGCCACAGTTCATTAGGCTCTGGGGGGGGAGTATAAGGAAAAAAGGAATTGAAAGCGCTGGAAGAACAGAACACCTGGAAAGTCGTTCCCATCGGCGTGGCACGCAACAAAACGGTACTCACCGGAAAATGGGTTTTCCGTGTGAAGACAAAGGCAGACAGCACCATCGACAAGTTTAAGGCGCGTTGTGTCGTGCGCGGTTTCGACCAAGAGTACGGACGTGATTTCACCGAGACGTTCGCCCCTGTCAGCCGACACACTTCGCAGTGAATTCTCCTCGCGATCGCCGCCATGAAGAAGAAGATGCGGCAAATTGACGTCGCCAATGCATTTCTCTACGCACCTGTTGACGCCGAAATCTTCGTCGAACTTCCAGACGGCTCCAACGGAGAGCCCAACCAAGTCTGTCAGCTGCTTAAGTCCCTGTACGGTATTAAACAGGCCCCGAGACTGTGGCAACAGTCCTTACACGATAGACTTATCCGCATCGGATTCCGCCAACTTCCGCACGACCAAGGCATGTACCGGCTCACGAAAGGTGACGACTACATTCTGCTCATCGTCTACGTGGACGATCTGCTCTACATCGGCTTGACTGACAACGTCACTACATGGTTCGAAGGGGAGCTGCAGCAGGACCCCACTCTCGCAGTGTCATCAACCGTCACGCAATACCTCGGCCTCAACATCCAGGAAGAGGAAGGCGCGATCTATCTCAACGCCGCGAAATACGCCGACACCATCGCCAAACGCTTCGAACTCTCTCTGACCACCATCTCCACGCCATACCGCTACACCACCGGAAATCACAAGGAAAGCTCCGCTCTAATTGAACCCGCTGGCATACACGACTACCAACAAAAACTAGAATGTCTCCTCTTCGCAGCCGTCACCTGCCGACCGGATCTCTCGTACTCCGCAAGCCAACTCGCTACATACCTCAAGAAACCTGAAGCATAGCACATGGCGGAGCTCGACCGCGCACTACACTACCTCATCAGTACCCCGACGATCGGACTAACTTACTACAAGACTAGAACTACGGCGCCTAAGCTAATCCGCTACGTCCACGCTGATCACGCCGGCGACTCTGACAACAGGCGCTCGCGCACCGGCTATATCTACCGACTCGAGCCTATCGGGCCCATCTCATGGCAGTCGAGCAAGCAGGAACTAATTGCTCTCTCCTCAGCTGAAGCAGAATATATTGCACTCTGCACAGCCACCAAGGAAGAACTTTACCTTCACGAACTGCTGGAAGAGGCGAAAATGGCCCAGTTACCCAGCTTCTCTCTATTCTGCAACAACCAGTCTGCAATTCGCATCGCGAACAAAAACGGATTCGCGAACAGGTTGAAGCACATCGCCCTGCGATATTTCTTCGTGAAGGACGAGATCGAGAGGGGCAGACTTGAGCTGTCTTACTGCCCCACGTCTGAGATGGTAGCTGATTACTTGACCAAGAAGCTCGGAAAGTAGAAGTTCGAATACTACATGCTGCTGACTGGACAAGGCCACGTCACCAGCAACGACGAAGGGACAAGTGATTTAAGCGCCTCTGTCGTGTCGAAGCACTAAGTCATAAACGGAGCGAAATACAGTGAAGCATTGGCGAGTCAACACTTGGAGGTTGAGAAGTGAAGAAACCGCTGGAGGTTACGCGAAAGTCAAAGGTTGTTGGTGCAACCCTACGGTTTGCACTCGGCTTGTTGTCCGTGTGCGTGCATGTGTGTGTGTATGGAATGGTATGAGGGCATGGGATAATATATATATTTCATGCTTATAATTGTGTGTGAATGTTGAGTCATGATGTCGAGTGTGTGTGTCGAGTCAATAGCGAGTTATCGCTAGACGCGTGTTACGCGGTCGTTTGTGTCTCGCGCGCGGTTTTTATTTTTGTCGTGCGCGGTTTCTATTTTGTCCTGTGTCGAACGTTCGGTGTGTCACAGGTGTGTGCAGCAGACCCATCAAGAACTCAAGGATGAGTTTGTGATGAAGAGCCCGAGCCTTGGTGTCAAGCCTCAAGTGATTTCGAAGCTCGCCAAAAGGGTGCACCTCAAGATATTGAAGATAGTTACATTACTTTGTGTAGTGTAACATTTCACTTGGTGTAGGCCCTAGTGAAGGGTAGTTTCGAGACCCTTCGTGGTTGGGGATAGTGTGGCACTGTTCCACATCACTGTACCTTGGCTCTTGGGGTTTGTAGGAGCTGGGAGTCATTCCCAACTCGTAACTCTTCATATCTCTTCCTATTTTTTGTGTTCTAAGACTATAGTGGCTGCCATAGTGCCATTCGTTCAAACCGACACTGTGTCGTCAATACTTAGTGAAATTGTGCGATCTAAACTGCCTATTGTAGGCGACGTTCAGACGCTCCAGATCCAAGTTGAATCAGGTCATTTGAAGTTCTGACCAGAACGCTCTGAACGTTTGAAGCCGCTGTGCAGAAATCCGGTTGTGCACTCTATCTTTCGTTTTAGGCACATTGGAGCCTATTGTGACTATAACAAAGGTCAGCGACCTTTGACCTGACAAGTACAGCACGATAGCAAGGACAAACACCTGGCTCGTTATTGAGCAGTTGCCCGAGTCGTCACTGTATCGAACCGCAACAGCAAGAGTAAAACAGTTATTAACTGTATCTCTTCATATTCCTTGTATTCTTATAAAATCTTGTATCCTCTTGTTTTAATCAATCTACTTTGCCCTCACAAACCAGCGCAAGGTGGTTCACAGACTTATCATTCAACGCTTCCGCTATTACATTGTTCCTACTCAGAGTTTAGTCCTGCAAAGATCCTAAGGGCTTTTCTCAGCCCAACATCTTTCACCAAAAAGGCTGGTAGATAATAATTTATCTTAAAGCTCAAAGAGCGTTTAGATCTTGGAGATTCTTGAAGAAGATTTCTTGATCTTGGGAGTTTCTCAACTCTTCTTAAAAAGAGCTGGGGATTATTCTAGATCTAAGATTTAGAAACTCCTAAAAAAAAAAAAAAAAAAAAAGTTAGCCACACAGGGCCAAGGATAACCACAGCTCTGGATACCAAATGTAACACGTGCTTTTAAGGAAACGCCCGAAAATAAATACCCAGACATATACTAGGCTCGTAAATTGCCATTAGCACTCATACTCAAGAGAAACTAGTCTCTATGCTAGCATTGAGTCTCAAAGACTTGATAGGTGAGGCCTTGAGGATGAAAGAGTAGCTTCACCAAGAGGATTGTTGGAGCATAGAGCACTTGTGAGGGAGAAATATTGGACTTGGAGAAAATATCCCATTTCCATTTTGGTAAATTGGAAGTTGGGAGTTGAGAATGAGCATGTTTAGTTAAGATCCCTTCTAGAACTCCTTGGGGAGCTCCACCTCCTTTATGGCAACAAGGGCAAGGAGCTCCTACAGGTGAGTTTGCTTAGGTGGCACAATGGTTGGATTTGCAACCAATGAGAGTAACACAATTGTGATAAGGATTGTTTTGCTACTTGTTGGTGCAACCCTACGGTTTGCACTCGGCTTGTTGTCCGTGTGCGTTCATGTGTGTGTGTATGGAATGGTATGAGGGCATGGGATAATATATATTTCATGCTTATAATTGTGTGTGAATGTTGAGTCATGATGTCGAGTGTGTGTGTCGAGTCAATAGCGAGTTATCGCTAGACGCGTGTTACGCGGTCGTTTGTGTCTCGCACGCGGTTTCTATTTTGTCGTGCGCAGTTGCTTTTTTTTTCCTGTGTCGAACGTTCGGCGTGTCGCAGGTGTGTGTAGAAGACCCATCAAGAACTCAAGGATGAGTTTGTGATGAAGAGCCCGAGCCTTGGTGTCAAGCCTCAAGTGATTTCGAAGCTCGCCAAAAGGGTGCACCTCAAGATATTGAAGATAGTTACATTACTTTGTGTAGTGTAACATTTCACTTAGTGTAGGCCCTAGTGAAGGGTAGTTTCGAGACCCTTCGTGGTTGGGGACAGTGTGGCAGTGTTCCACATCACTGTACCTCGGCTCTTGGGGTTTGTAGGAGCTGGGAGTCATTCCCAACTCGTAACTCTTCCTAACTCTTCCTATCTTGTGTTCTAAGACTATGTTGCTGCCATAGTGCCGTTCGTTCAAACCAACGCTGTATCGTCAATACTTGGTCAAATCGTGCGATCTAAATTGCCTAGTGTAGGCGAGAATAAGACGCTGCAGATCCAAGTTGAATCAAGTCATTTGATGTTGTGACCAGAACGCTATGAACGTTTGAAGCCGCTGTGCAGAAATCCGACTGTGCACTCTATCTTTCGTTTTAGGCACATTGGAGCCTACTGTGACTATAACACTACTTGTTATAATTTGTAGCAGTAATGTCCAATTGCTATTGGTTGGAATTCCAACGAATGTGGAGGTTGGGTTGGTTCCCAACCATGCTTGTCTTTTAGTGGGTGGTTGTCCACAATTATGGACCAATCACCATTCATCCCCTCCAACCCTCTC